TGTCGAGAGCTGGAACAAGTGGATCTATTGGCGGAGAGGGGTGACTACCGTTCTGGATCATACGGATTTGTTCATCGAAACGCTCGTGTGCTGGGGAGGGAAGTCAGAAAATAGATAGAGCAGGTTGTTTTTTTTTTGCTTACCTCGCATAAAGTCGTGATATCTTTGCCAGTCCTTGTATGTGATATCGTCGAGCCACGCCATAGGCATAGCCATTTCACCTTGAGCTTTGTTTGTGAATTCTTTGACTTCTTTGGTGGCACGATGGTACTAATGAGGGATGGCTAAATGAACAATGAAGTAAGGAAAGGCAAAACAACGTACCTCCTGTACTTCGAGCTCGCGGACACTAAGGTACCACCATTGAACCTTTTCTTGTAGCTCGGCGAGGCGTTCGGTAAATCTCTCTTCAACTCGCTCGACGACCGTGTACCAGCGCCTGATCCGATCATCGACATCCACAGTAGCAGAATCTGTACGCATGAAGTTGAGTGCCAGTGAAAGAGAAAAAATCAAAATAGAAATTGAACGTACCACGGACGCTCTTCTCTTCCTTCTTCAAGTACGTCTCAAGACCTTTCAGCAACTTTTCAGACTCGTTCTCAAAACGTCCCAGTATTCCGGCAACATCTTCGCCACGAACGTGAGTCAATGTCTCTTCCAAATCACTATTATCGCCTTTTTCAGGATCGGGGAACAGCGCTCTCACCGCTCCCTTACGAATGCGAACCATTTCCTTTCTGAACGCCTTTGTGCGACCTTTAATCAAGGCGTCGATCTCAAGCTGCCACTTGTCCAAGTCCGCTTCGATTTTGGCACGTTTTGCAGCGGTCTTAGCTTTACGGGCTGCTAGAGATTCTTCAGGAGTGAGAGATATTGTCACTGTCTCCGGTTCCTCCTCGACGATCGAAGGCTCTGGTTCAGCTTCTTCATCCTCCAGAAGACCCAACTCGGCAAAGAAATCATCGAGATCTACTTCTTCAACGACTTCGGGCGCAGCTTCAGCTTCATCCTCAGCCAAGAAATCGTCTTCTTGTGGAGGTACAGCTTCCTCAACCACGACCTCGGGCTCTGATTCAGCTTCCACCTCGACCTCAAATTCTGGTTCAGCTTCCGCCTCAACCTCAGTCTCTGGTTCAGTTTCCGCCTCTACCTCAGTCTCTGGTTCAGCTTCCACCTCGACCTCAATTTCTGGTTCAGTTTCCGCCTCGACCAGCAGTGTTTCCATAATGGCAGAAGACGTCAAGGATGGTGCAGATTCTGTGGATGATGCCTCCATCACCGAAGCAACAGAAGACAGAGTCTCAACGGAGGAGGAAGTGGAGGTTTCGACAGGAAGAGACGATTCCTCGGGGACAGAGGCGGCTTCAGATGTAAAGTCTGGGACAACCGACAAGTTGGACGTTGTGGCAGATGGAGCAGCAGACGAAATCGTTTGAACTGTTTCCGGTTCAATCTCGGAGGAGGTAGCTTTGGTTTCCTCTACAATAGTCGAAGTAGAAGCAGGAGCCACAGTCATAGAACTAGGCACAGTAGTACCGCTCAGCTCGACTACTTTTGCCCAGATTCTGACGACGTGTGGATCCACAAACTGCCGCCTTGCTTCTACGCTTTTGTCCAAAGCCAAACCAAAGAACGTCGCGCATATTTCTACGGCATTCGTGAGATGTGGTTTAGCCTTTTCCCAAGCTCGGCCGACGAAAGGCCGGGTATGTGCGTATGCGGTTTGGATACGGGGTGTAACCAAAATATATATCCGGTGAGCGGTGACAAGAGCTCTGTTGGTGTACTGGTGAGCCTTGAGTGAAAATGGGGTGAAATACGGGTCTATTACGCGTGATCGAACGAGACGCACGCGGGGAAGAACGTGTCGCTTGTACTGAGGCAAGACATATTTTCGATAAGAAGGCTGGATGGACCTAATGTATATCGGAATAAGGACTTTTTCATAAGTAGCCACAGCAAGCTTGGCTGCTTTCGTGATATAGGGCTGGGCAACGACACGGGTACGACGTATGACGGGTGTCACGACGCGCTCTGCATCATGATACTTGGCAACCGCTGGCGCAATAGATGGATGGGAAAGAGCCTTCTGTAATGGAGGTAGTACGTATGGGTCCAGTACGTGCGTTCTATACTGGGAAAGAGAGCGACAAAGCGGATTGGAAAGGTGGGTATCGGCTGGACATGTCCATAAAGCATACGTTGTGAATATGGTAAGCAGGATAATGACAACCCGGTCCACTATCGAGGAAGATTTCGTAGATTTGGATGCTTTGGTATGCTTTTTCTGTTTCGGTTTTTTAGAAGTGGAGGAAGGACCAGCCGTCGTAAGTTTGGAATTAAGGGTGGCTTTCGTGCGAGGGAGTGGCTGAGTCGAATTTGTCCTAGAGCCCATAGGCGGGGCTACTGGGGTATTCTGTTTCTTGTTCACCACCATCTCAGGCTATAGCATAAAGTAGGAATAAGTCGTCTGACTGACGTGGTGTTGATCAAGTTGTGTGCTGGTATTTTCTCATGTCATAAGGCGTCTAATTAGGCGCCATACGCTTTGACGCGTGAGCGTCTTCTTTTGCTTCTTGAAATTGATTGCTCAGGCGCTTCAGTAACATCCTCATTCTCGTTTCACCAACTGGTAGATACGCTAAGGACACAAGGGCTATATCACGTGATCTTTATTTGAGTATTTTGCTAAGCTTCTCAAAACTCACAAACCCTTTGATATTTATACCATTGGAAGCCTCAAATTCTGCATAACCTTACTGTGGCATTTTTGAAAAAAATTGGTTGCTGGCTCAATATCAGCTTGAGTCTGTCACGTGATATGGCCGCTTGCGTCCTTAGCGTATCTTACCTATGATGATAGATCCCAGGTATATTATGAAGCTCCATTCGATACCTCAAATGCACTGAATCGAGATTTCTTGAAGTGACCGGTCGTAGCCGACTCGTAGGTACGGGGCTCGGAATCATGTACACGGCGGGAGCTGCCAGGATACTGTAATCCTCCTTAATCCTGGCAAGCTTTTCCACTCAGAGCATTCTGACTTACAAAAACGCAACACAGATCCCTGGTCCACTGCAAGCTCCGGAGACACTCAATCGTATAGTGGTCGACAAAAGTTGAATCTGTGCTCTGCCAAAAACAAATCACAGTCATTTCGCAGGTTATCCTTCTCTTTTCTACAGACTAAGTGCTTGTTAATGCATCACTTTGTCTGTATCCTTTCAGAATTGAGACAGCTGCTTTGTGACAGACCGCGTGTCTGACGTTTCAAAGATGCTTGACCCCCGGGCCATTGACTGTCTTCAATAGGCCACGGCCATGGCGCATCAAGACTGGCTCAAGCCTCTGTATGATGCATTTATCCAACTGGGGCCTGCTTGGCAGACATGTTTTTGAAGCTTTTAGCCACAGCCGACCCTGGGCCAAGCTCATTCACCCAAGCCGGCGGCGTGTGCTTGATTAACGACTCCGAGTCGCGTCCGCATGGGGTGTATACAGTATGCAGAATGCCTCAAGTTGGTGGCGGTGATTGCTGCTCGGTCGGTAAGTCTTGCTTTGACACTACTTATTGGAGACAGACTCAGAACGCGCTACAGAAATTTCTTCAAGTTGAGGCTCCGTCTCGGAGGTTGATCTGAGGCATTCAAAGTCAGTCTCTAGGCAAATTTGTCCTAGTATGCAATCCTCTGACAGAACTCGAAGACTTTGTCTACAGTGGTCAGTTGATGTTGACTCGATGTGATGATTCCACTAGATGGGACTAGTACTAGTACTATTAGCGAAATGATCTATGAAGCTCTCGTTACAGGTCAGACGCCGTGATTGGTTGTCTGCAGTGCCCGTCTAGCCTTAACGAACTTTCGTTTTCGTCGAAGTTCCCAGAAGATGCCGGCGCCCAAGTTCATTCCTCGGAAACAATATACATCGGATAACACATAAAAAAACGGTTCCCTTCGTGCTCGGAACTCCTCTTAGCTCCGTAGGATCTCCTCGCAACAGCGAATAAACACTCGAGCGTTAGTAACACTTTAATCTTTCCCAACATTCAATTATAGTCCATTGCATTTATCCTTACTTATAAGCCACCGACATGCAAGTCTAAACTTTGCTGAAGACCAATGCTCATCAAAGATGCAGCCAGTAGACTCGATGATATCCATTTGGAGCGCTCGAGATGGACATTGTGGACTTGAATTGTTTTTTTTTGTCCTTTTCGCTGTCTGCTGTCGCTCTTAAGCATCAAGAACGCTTGCTATCATGTCTAGGCAGCTGTGATGTGTCTTTCTAACTTTTTAAAATTCATTTCATTGAGCAGCAAAGCGTAATCAAGGCGATTTTGGAATGCCTGACTCTGGATAACTCCATTTGGGCGGACTTGGCGAAGCACTATCATATTCAATTTGCAGATCTGAGGTGCCAGTTGGGTAAGTACTTAATAACTAACCGTATAACAGGCTTGTGAGACAAGAGATGACGAGATATATGGGATGGGATAGGAGAAAAATTGAATGGAAGTTGAAAATTTCTCTGGTTGGGCCTACATGGTATCGGAACTCAAAGCTATGTCATAAAAGACGCAGATGACTTCAATCCGATAAGACATATGTGTACCGGGAAGCTCGAACAATTGACTGACAGTTTTCTAGAGTTTTCCTCGATTTTATCCTAGAAAATACTAGTCTTTCCCTGCATCTGGGATAGTTTGACGTACCAGGTCGGAATAGTAAGGTATTCGATATCCAAGCTTGTACGACCCCATGAATTGAAGTCTCCAAAGTCGCTCTCACTGTCTGTAGTGCGAAGTATCGCGGACTATCAAATTCTCAACTTGTCAAGGTGACTTGCCTGTGTACCTGACATTCAGTAACAGATCTAACGAGAGATTTGCAGTCGTGGATTTAGAGTTCGTATTAAGTGCGAATTATAACAACAAATAAGTAAGATCAATACGCCGGAAGTAGAAAAACAAAAAACTAGACATTGTCTTCATACATCCGACCTGCCTGGTTCGAACAGGCGACCCCAAGATTATCGCAAGAATCCAATTACAGTCTTGTGCTCTTCCAACTGAGCTAAGGTCGGATAATTCTTCGACATACAAAATTTGACTATGTTACATCAGACTGAGTGAGCGGTAAAACCAGCAAGGTCTGCTACTTTTCGCTTTGATCTTGTACGACCATGAAGCGTAACATTTCCATGGACGCTCAAAACGATGCGCCGGTCAAGAAAACCAGAACCCGAAAACCTCTTGATACCAGATACGAGACTCCTAATCCTTCTCATTTTTCCGAATCCCAAGCCTATAAACTTCCTTCCTCTGTTGGATCTTATCTTTCTCCTTCGAATTTCTCTCCAATTCCGAAGGGTCCTTCACCTCGACGTACACATCGACGAACGAGCTCTACCAATTTGAAGGAAAACGCGTCGATTAATGCTTTGCATAGCCCATTCCCCAAAGGAAAACAACCACTGCACAAAAGAAATACGGAAAATCGCGTCGTAACCGCAGAAAACGCGATGCTATTCCACTCGAAAGTCCTTTTAACAGCTCGGGCTCTGCATCTTCAGCATCTAGCCCAAATTCGCGTCCTATTCATAACATTTCGCGTTCGGCTTCGCAGTCGACGACCAATTTACCAGCCACAGAATCACCAACCAGAATTCGTCGTCCTTCGGCACCAACACCTCCCAGAGTATCTGACTGGAAATATATTCCTACTCATACTGTTTCAGCCCTCGATTTGCACTCGCCCATCACTGATTCTCTTCTCGACGCAGACCTTCCTCCAAATGCTTTTCTTCCTTTTGTTCGACCTTCGCCCAACCACTCGCAGCTGGATTTCAATCGTCCACCGTCTCAGCTTTCTTTGTACGATTATAGTCGCACCGTGACCTATGGCGACAAGCCTATGGAAGTAGATGATATCGATCCAGCGATCAAGATGCCTTCTTCACCGATGTACGCGGTACCTCGACTCCTTTCAAACATCTCGGCTCTCTTAGTTTCAAAGACCGTCGAGTTGGAGGCACTTTAGATCCTGCTTATCTCTCCAGATCTGCCCTTTTGCAGTCGATCGCTGGAGCAGAAACCGACACAGATAACGATTCCTCTGGGGTCGATTCTGATGAAGAGTTGGACTCGAAACGACACGAATCCTTCTTCCGGAGCTTGAAGCTCGCGTCAAGGAAGCGGTCGAAGACTGGAAGTGGATATGTTACTCCCGATGATTCAGGTGACGAGGAGATGGTCCAGAGGTCCCCATGGATTAGTGACTCTCTCATCTCTCCTCCGAAGACCGTTGATTGGAAGTTGGTGCCTAAACTTTCCGAAGATGGCGCATATAAGGATACGGGCGGCCTAGAGGATATACTGATGGACGAAGAACGTATTCCCGAACATGCGTTGAAGGGTTTGTTCGACAATTTGAATCTCAGTGAGTTGTTTATCTAGTGCTTTGTTGCCGTAGCATCGAACTGATGATTGCTAGGTCACACCTCTTTGGAAAACGACGAAGTCCATGACTCTATTTGCAAAGACACTGGAATCGCAATGCATCCGTCTTCCTCAACCTCTTCGTACTCGCTCCCTCGATGCCGCCCTTGCTTCTTCATCTGAACTTGGCCACGATGCCACTCGCCCCGCAGCTCCTGTGACCTCCGTAGGTAGGCGAACACGGAGCGGAACCATCATCCCTGGAACCTCTTCCGCTGAGCTGACTGCGGTTTCTAACGCTCCGCCAGCACTTCCAAGGAGGACTAGAAGCGGAACCGTCGTTCCAGGCAACGTCGGAGCTTTCGGTCCCGCTCTCACCAACAATGATGAACCAGTAGCTCCATCTCTTCCTATTCGCCGTAATCGCAGTGGAACGGTAGTATCAAACCCAATGGGCCTCGCGCCTTCTCTGCCTATCAAGTCTGGAGCCTCGAGTTCTGTGGCGGGCTCTACCGTAGGCACGGCCCTACGTACTCGAATCAGGAGCGGAAGTATCGTTGTCGGAAACACGTTGGCGAACCTTCCTAGTCAAGCAGCGGGAATGATGAGACGTACGCGCAGCGGAACCGTGGTACATGCACCTTCAGCTCCTGCCTCGATTCCGGGACTGGAGCCTACCGCTGAAGTAGCTACCAACGCCGTCCCTGAAAGCACTGCAAGTGGAAAGCCCAGTGATGTCGGCGATGAAGCTGAAGATGTCGAAATGGATCTCCTCTCTGAGCCTGTAGCTTCTGATCTGGAATCAGTTCGATCTGAACGTGTAACTCTCTCAAACAGCTCACCTGGGCATGGTCCTAAGCGAGACGACACCATAAACTTCCTTGACGAGCCGATGGTCTTTTCTAGCCCTACGCACTCCTCTCCTGCGCGTTCATTGACCACGGACATCAACACCGCTCTGAACGCTCGTTCTTCCAATGGTCTGCGCGCACGCGCTAAAGCTGCTGCTTCGAAGGCAAAAGGATTCAGCAAAGCCTTGACGGGGAAAGGTGGTGCCCGAGGTAAAGGTTTGACTGGACCCGAGGCGGGCGCTGCTGCTGTTGCGCGCGCGAGAGCCAGAGCCGAACAAAAGTTACTTGAAGAAGGTTTGCGTGACGCAGAAGATTCGTCGGACGATGAATTGTTGTTGAAGTGATTCCCGACATGCAGTGTTCGCTATTATTTGGTGAGATTTTACGTTTTCATTCCATTGTCCAGCCTGATTTTCTTACCAATCTAGTCAACGGCGTTGGAGCTTCTCATCTACACCCAGCTAATTCGTGGTCGGAAAAATCCCAGAGTGGTCATCGTCGCCAAGTGTCAATAATTCTGATGGATCCAAGTTTTCCCTCAATTTTTTTTCTTTTCGCCGTGGAAAGATGCACTCAAAGAGTCTTTTCTAGTGCTCAGTTTTTTCGCTTTCTTCGTTCTCGGCTTTACACTCTTATCGTTTTCAATTCGCTTTCAGCTACGATCGTCTGCGCAGTATTCTTGCGCAGCTTTTTCTCGTTCTTCACTGGAAATTCATATCTCTGTATTCTAAATTTGCATCGTCGACACTGTTCTCAAGCTATCCGCCGGTGTTTCCAAGACCGGAATCTCCAAGTTACTCTCAAGTTGTCATATTTTGTCATTGTTCTCAGTTCCTCCATACACCCCGCTCTTTCTACATTAACGTTGTTCTTCTCAGTCGCTCCACAGATACCATCCTTGGTCTTAATTTGAACTTATGTGTATGGTTTTGACCCCTCCTGTTTTTTCACGGATCCTTCGTCCATGTATGTTTTTTGTTGTTTTTTTTCTTTTGTAGGCGCTGTATATCGAAGTTTACTGTACAAAAAAATCATATGTATGAAGATTGCATTCGGAACTTGTCCGAATTATCTGCTACTTCAAGTTAGGGGGATTGACAAATGATGCAATCTAGGCATCTTAGTGACGGACGACTCTATCCAAAGATTTGGCGCTTTCGTCAACCCAGCAACGAGCCCGACCAGCAAGGACTCAACCAAGGACTCAACCAAGCGTCCAATAGCCTCTTTATGGGAGAAATAAGCAATTGAAAACACGGAGGGAAGTGGAATGGTGGATGGAGACGGGGTTCATTTCGGGAAACCTATGTCAGCTGCATTCACTGTAGACTTGGCGGACATGGGCCAATCTGTAAAATATTTGGGGACCTGACTCACAGTTAGGGACTCAACTCATACGCCACTGCCATCCAAGAGATTAGTGAGAATGAGAGTTTGGGCGCAAATCGTAGCCTAGTGTGCTCCTAGTCGAGGCGTGTGCAATAATATGTATCAATTCAGATCGACTCAATTGATATTTGAAGATAGTAAGTTTGATCAGAGGCATCCTTAAATGGGACTTGGTGTGACACAACCTGCTCCTGGGGTCCTACCAACTGTCGGAGGCGAGGTTCGGAGGCTCGGAAGTACGGATCATGCGTGACGCTTTGGTCGTTCGTCGCGTGGGTCATCGCGTGGGTAGGCCTGAAGGATTGATTTAACATAATGAGATTAATACTGCAAGGAAGAAATAAGCTTGTATTTTTGGAACACCGTACCGGTACCGTCATACACAGTAAACTAATTCGCTGTTACATAGAGCAAAGACACCGGTGGCCGAAATAAATTTCGACGAGGTTGAGTACTCAGTCTTGAGCCCATTTGCCAATTTCCGACCTGTACTCGGAGGGCTCGCGATCGTCGAGCCATTAACAGCTATTTGCTCGAAAGCGGAAAAATGTCAGGGATTCATGAAGTTGTAGATGTATTGACCACCAGGAAAAGAATTCGTTACGAATGCCGAAAGGTTTCAACGAGGAAGAACCCTGTCCGCCACCCCCACGAGCCAAGCAGGTTGTTAGGGTAGTGAATGAGGCCAAAAGTATACTGTACTTACAACGCGAGCGGAAGCTGTTCCACGAGGGCGAGCCTGAAGTTCAATCTTGAAATCGTATACATACGGTATGGTGTCATACAAGAATGGGTACTGCAATCCGATTATCCGAGATGAGATTGCCCCTGGTGGGATGTTGAAGGAGCGACGTTTGGGCCTAACGGGGTATGAGCATGGTATGAGCGTGGCACGCACGCGAGTAGCCCGTCAAAGACTTCAGAAATACCGACCTAGGGTCGACCATGCACTTCCACATCGGTCCCGTCATCCATTCACATTATTTTTTGAATCGCTGGTGGAATGTTTCGAACTGAAAGAAATTTAACATTAGAGAGTTGAGATTCTTCGAGTACCGTTTATGGTAAGTGCATCCACAAATGAAATCACCGAAGAACTAGCTAGTCTCGAAAACACGACAAGTTGACCCCTGTATAGAAAGAAAAATCAAACCTACGAATGTTCATCTCCGACAAGAGGATCTTGAGAGGTCCTGTTCAAACAATCTCGATGTTAAAGCGTTGTGTACAGGAAGCATGGTCGAATAATTTGAATGCCACCTCGTGAAAGCTGACAGTATGAGGTCAACATGTATATAGATTACAGCAAAATACAGAAGATAAAGAAAAGAGTGACAACATTCCGAAGATGGGCATCGCATAGAGAGAAGATGGCTCGGGAAGCTAGCCGAGCGCGCAGGAAGTGC